GGAGCGACTCGAAAATCCTGAGCATGGTGGGGATAAATACTCCGAGAAAGGACAATACACCCCTTTTGCAATGCACGCACCATATGTGTCCCGTTCGTGTCCACTGGCACGTGAAGGTGAACTACAAAGACTACTGGAGAGTAAAAGTAGCTGTAACAAATTTTAACTACAGAATGAACTATACACAGTGGACACTTGTCATCCAGCACCCGAACCTCAACAATGTAACGCAAGTTTTCAGCTTCGATTACAAGCCATTGGTCCCGTATGGCTCCATCAGTAAGTATATATGCATAATGCATCGACTTTTTACGAACAAGAATCTTCCTCAGGGGTATCTTTGTAAATTTTCTCATTTTTCTTTAGACGACACGGGGATGTTCTATGGCATGAAGTTCTACAATGATCTGCTGATGGAAGCTGGGCAATTTGGAAATGTTCAGTCAGAAGTGCTCATGCAGAAGGATAAAGACACTTTTACCCTCAGGCAAGGGTGGGCTTTTCCCCGGAGAGTGTATTTCAACGGGGAGGAATGCATGCTGCCCTCACCCGATTCTTACCCATTTTTGCCGAATTCTGCTCCGTCGAGTCTAGATTCTTTCTTGATATTGACTTTCTCTGCTATAGTTATGTCGCTTATTACGATTTGGAGATAATTTTATTTATTTATTTTTTTGTTTGGCGGTATTGGAAATTTTGAAGAAAATCAGAAGGGCTTGAATACAATTTTATATACAGACATTGCTGAAAGATGGAAAAATGAAATGATAACGGATAATTTTCATGTATACACATTGCTGTATCTATCGCATTGTACTCAGAAAAATTTATTGACAGCAGTACAAAGGCAAAGTATTAAGCAAAACATGTTAGGCAAAATGGAAAGCCATGGATGAAAACAGAGTGATTATTGTTAGCATGAGCAAGGAGATGTCTTTTTCCCTTAAACCGGCGTTTGGTAGATAGGGATACGCATCGGGAGGTGGCATGACACAGTTATCTCCATTGAAATAGATTCTTCTAGGAAAAGCCCAACCTTTTTCGAACGTGAAGCTCGATTTGTCCTTTTGGAATAAAAGCTCCGACTGAACGTTGCCAAACGGGCCAGCTTGCATGAGCAAATCGTTGTAAAATTTCACACCCCACAACAATGCAGTATCATCTGTCATCAACACATAAAAAAAAATTAATATTAAAAAACTATATTATACTGTGACGAACTAATCGACACAGAAAAAGAAACAATATTAAACTTACTTATATTTTGATATGGAGTTAGTGGCTTGTAGTTGAAGCTGAATATCTGTGTGAGATTATTCAAGTTCGGGTGTTGAACAACCAAATTCCACTGTGTGTAATTCATCCGGTAATTGAAGTTTGTTATGGTGACCTTCACGCGCCAATATTCTTTGTAGTTTACCTTCACATGCCAGTGGACTCGAATTGGGCACATATGGGACGTGCACTGGACTAGAGGAGCCAAGTTCTTCGAATTATCAGAAACAACGGAGGCAAGGTGTGGAGAATCCGGACTGCAATGAGCAAAACACACAAAAAAAATGAAGAATGAAAAAGAAAATGAGAAAAAGCAGCCGAGTTATTTTTAAAAAAAAGAAGAAGAGAATGAACAAATGAGGTTAATATTGGAAAAGAAACTCACTTCACACAGCTTCCAGACGGAGCAGTGGTATTTTGGCAACCGCAAGTACAGGTCGGGCAAGGGACAATAGTGTCGTTATAGAATGACGAGAGGGACACACAGCAAGTTGGGGTTCTTTGGGCCAAAAACTGAGAATACATGCACGTAACATTCCACGTCACTGCATTAAGAGAATAATCGGAAAATATACGAGGATAAGTTCAATCCAAAATAGTATAATAGTAAGAGCGAACAAAGCCTTTAAGTAACAATTTCAATATATGTTTGATCAAACAATTCTAAACAAACCCCATTAGTACACATCTTGGTGGTGTTTGCAAACAACTATCCACTTTTTAGAGAAGCTGAAGTTTGAAGTATTTTAGAATAAGAAAAAAAGCATACAATTGAATAAGTTTCGAAGCTGCTAATATTCTTGAAAAGAGTTAAAACTGCACTTTTTCGAGCTGAAATCTGACAATCACTTTTTATCATAGGTTTACAAGAAGAACTCTATAAGTTCAACTTACTCATGGCCTGTGTCACTCGTCTCCCGTCCTGCGAGAAGAACCTCGTAGGTTTAACAATCTTAGCGGGCCCACACGTGTACCCGGGCCCATGTGCTCTCAGTGTGAAGTTCTTCGGCAACCTAACCGTCTTATTAGTGGTCCCGGCAGAACCCACGCTGATCTGGAACGAGCTGGCGGCATTGTCTTGGTCCTGGGCCCACGCGCTGATCACGCCTCCTTTGCAGCAATTCGCAATCTGTTGATTGTAAGGTGTACCGGGCAGTAAATCCACGACAGTCGGATCTTTCTTACAGCAATGCGGGATATTCCCTTTGAACCTCGAGCAATCTCCTTGCTCGGTGGTTTGACCGCCCATCATGCCCCATATGACCTCTTTCTTGGCCCAGGTCCAGCCGAGAGTCCAGCCGGGGGCTTGAATATGACGGTATTGTTGGAAGTTGAATATGGTCACAACAGCCTGTTTGAATATAAAGCCCTTTAACTTCTTGTTGAGGCAAAACCATAGATATGAAGATTTGAATGTGTGGAACTTACAACATAGCCATCAGGGGACCAATTGATTATATCCCACTTAATTGTTATGTTTCCATTAGGATCAAGTGCATCATAAGCATCTGAAGGGTGGCAAAAGGGTTTAACATTGAACATGTCAAAATGCAAGCTCTTGTATAAATAAACACAAAATATAATTAGTTAAAAAAAAATTAATAATGGGATCATCAATGGCGGCCAGAACAAGTCGATGGGGGCATTAAACCTACTCAAAGATCCGAACTTTTCTACAAAATAATCGGACCCTTTTGATCGGCCAAAGCAAAATGCATCAAGCATTATCAAAATTTCAGGAAAATTCACAACTGGGACAGAACACAGAACACAGAGTGTTAAACAAACAAGAAAGAAGAGAACAAATAAAACAAAGTACCTGTTGAAGTAAAGCTAAGACAAGAACAAAGGAAAACTAGCAAAATTGTTGAAGCTGTGATTCTCGACAAAGATCTGAACCAGGTCTTCATGTCGCTCTGTAGCAGAATTTCTTGATCAATGTGTGTATGTGTGTGTGTGTGAGAGAGAGAGAGAGAGAGAGAGAGAGAGAGAGAGAGAGAGAGAGAGAGAGAGAGCAGTGCGAAGCTTGTCACGATTGAGCACTAATGGCGTCTTGAATTGAAAAAATAAAAAGTCATTTTAACGCGTAACCACTTTCCTTAAAAGGTTCTTGAAAAAATGATGTCTTGACTTCGCCCTATCTTTCTTGCGGCACCAATTGTTCCCAAAAA